GAAACACGAATAACCCAGTGCAGAATGGGAGATACCACAGTTATTTAGCCCATGTTTGGTCAAAGGATCGGCTTCACTTGTCTCTTTGACGAGTGTTGTATGGTGCTAAGAATGGCGGTACTTACTGACGATGCCGACTGCGATGCCGAAGAAACGTTTGGGAATGTACCACGTTCATGATTCACCTTTGGAAATGATCATGCAGACGATGGACTCCGGAATAGGTGCGTTCCTCTAAGTTTTCCTACCAATATGGCCAAGTTGCGAAAACAAGGTCAAACAACTTCTATATATCTTTAATTTTGCTCGCAATTAGTAAATATATCATATGGAAAAAAGCCGTTTAGTCTTCTTAACTTTTACAAGAATGAGTCCCAGCTCTGACGATGTTCGTTACATGACGAACAGCCCGTCTTAACCCGAAGCTTTGGAGGATGTTTCGAGGACTGTATCAACCTGAACGCCATATTAAGGCCAAACGACCGCTGCACAACGATAATCAGCCGACGTCTTCTGGTGAGATTGGCCTACGAATCTTTTCATCATGTACTTCCATACGAAATAAAAGTCTTCACATTAATCTTATCTCAGAAGATTTTTCGAAACCCGCATTTTCTTTATTTATAATTTTAGCATAGTCAGCTGGTGAGATATGCGATTGTGGTCAATGGTTAGGACATATTTCTCATGGTCAAAAGGCCCGAATATAACCCAGTAAATGGCTGTTCGATTCGTTTCAAGAGCAAGAGATGATAGGTTGTGCGCCAAAGTGGCCACCACGACAGATGGGATTTCATACGGACAATACAAATACAGATGGGTGTTGAGCTTACTTCCATTTCGAATAAAAGTGTTGGGTGAAGAGATTTGAAGGTTGATTCCACCAGAAGACGAGGGCGGATTTCTCTTGACCAGCTGTCGATTGGCTTTACTGGCTTTGGGTACCAAAGCGTATTAGTTGGAATAAAAATTGTGATTTCGATTATGTTCATTACGTATTAATTGCATATCACAGGTCATTTGCGGTTCAAAAATCAAGTAGTGGAGCTGCCCCCCGACCAGATTATAAGGAATAATTAATCACTGGTTTTTGCTTTTACACATGCAGAAAATTTTTATTGTATTTAGACTCGAATCTCTTCACCCAACACTGGAAATGGAAGTAAGCTCAACAATTATGAAACAATAGATTCCTCGAAGCCCAACTTTTATTCACAGATGGGTGATCCAATAACAGGGCAAAATGGCAAGTAGAGAACACTTACAAAAATGCCAATGAATGTAAGTATGAGAAGCGGATGGGATGAAAGGAGAAGGGAAAAGATATTTTAGCTTATTTAGGAAAGGTCACTTTTACAATTTCCATTGAAGTTATTCGAAACATCACGTGACAGAGAACCGAAAGTGCCGTCTAACTCACTAAGACGTTGACGGATGGTGAGTAGGCTTGCCCCGATTCTGAAGGAGCGAAGCGGCCAAGGCCGGAGCAAGGCGGCTAACAGGCCCTCCAACAGCAGAACTGCCGGTTCCGTAGACGTAGTCAAAGGAATCCGTGTTGGTGGCGATTGACTCAGATAGACACTCGGAGATGCCGCGCTGGAGTAGCGGTCCCGAGTGATTCACTTTGGCGACTGTTTTTTTAAGTTTTGGTATATAAATAAGAACCTTATTAATATGTGAAAGACAATCGTTGTAACAGGCAAAACCAAAGACAAATAAAGGAACAGAAGGAAGGAGAAGGGTATGAGGTTAAAAAGCACTTACAACTTACATATACTCCCCACGTAATAAAACATGAGATTTACAGTAAACTGAAAGACAAGCAATTGCAATAACTCTTCTTATTGCCCTGGTGCTCTTTTCATATCCCCTTCTGCGCCTCATTCTTTGGCAACACGTGATGAAGCCCGCTTAGTCAGATGAATGATATTTGATGAGGCTGAGTAGAGGATGACAAAGTCAGCTAGAAAGTTGAAATGAACTTTTTCCATGATAGTCCAATGATGCCCACAATGTTTGAAGAAAAAACAGATGAAAATACGAATATCTATCATAGGTGGAAATGTGACGAAGAAGTAGTGGGCTGACATGATTGGATAATAATAATAACTAGATTGGAACCAATATAGAGCAAGTCGTAGACAAATTATCAACTGCAGAATTGTAATTTTTGTCATAGAGCCTGAAAAATGTCACTTTTCTTGGCCAAGCGTTCAATTATAACAGCCATATGTGGTTTCTATTCCTTTTTTATTTGGTACTTATTTCTAAAAAGAGATACAAAGCACTAAATGTGTTCGGCACGGGAAAGAATATTTTAAACTTATTAACAAAAAATGATTTGCTATGGCTGGCAGAAAGATATAATGACTGAGGCTTCAGCAAAGCCAATTTGCTTAGCCTCAAGTGGTTCCTCTCTTTCATATAATTCTTGGCCGATTGGTCCATCACAGGATAAATAGGAGAAATTTTAAAATTATTAAGCTAGATAGGAATGGAGAAAAATAATGGCCTTAAATCAGATAGATATTCGCTACCGGATCCTACCTATTATAAAATGTTTTAATTTCATTGGCAAGCGGAAGCTGATTTTAAGTCTGCAATTTGGTATTCTAAGAGATGTCGATCAAAAGCAGGCATATCCTGATTTTGAAAACTATCTTTTAATGATTGCATCTTAATAAGGCCGAAACCGAAGGAATTTAAATGATTTGACGATAAAATAAACGCCACTCACTTCAGATTGGGTTTAACTTTAAAATAGAGAAGCTTCTGGAGGAACAAAAGTATCATTACTTATGTAATAACCATGCATTTGGCGTATTTAAAGATATACGCTTCTTCATTTGCCAAAAAAAGGATATTAACTTTAAAAGTATCACATAGTAAAGTGAAAATTAAGGGAGATTTTACTTGAGATCGATCAACTGGTGTCTGAGGCACTGAAATATCGCATTCCCAGACCAAAATGAAGGTAATGCCAGATTTTATAGTAATGTTTTACGGTGTCATCTGTTTAGAAGTTACTCCTAATCTAGTGAGAGCAGCTTGGGCCTCGTCCATGCGTAGTGATCACCAACAATAATAGCTTAACAAGGAGAATTCGGAGGATGATGCGCCGCTTCTTTAGACTCGTCATTACAAGCACGGGTGGAGAAAATGAGGAGCTCAATTCAATTCTAGGTTGTGGATACATCAAAATGGTGAAATATAATAAGCTTCAATGTTGAAGCCTACCTTTTATGATTGTATGAATAAATGTTTGTAGTTACTTTTAAGCTCGTCCCAAGGTCAAGATATTGTCAAAACTGCTTGTTCTAAATGGAGGAAATGTAATTAAAAGGTCTACGTTTGCTATCGCTAAACATTCCGCCATGTAAACAACAACACTCTGAAATCGTATAGTAACTTTGTGAATAATCCCATTGTAGAATTTTAAACCAAGAATAAGCCAACTGCGACCAAATAAAAAGCCACACTATCTTGGTCTTCATATCTCTGAATCAAACCAATTCGCCGAATAAGCAATGGGGCGCTCCATGCATTGAGAATAAAATCGTCATAACAACGTAATTTATAAATGAATAACTTTTGAGACCATAAGTAAGCCTTGGCAATGTCGCAAACATATTTACGATCCGGTATCGAGTTGCGCTGGAGGCTAGGTAGAAACTGCAGTACACCCTGGACAATATAAGCTATAAGTGGGTTTAGTGAAGCGTAATCATCTCCACCACCGGTACCAGGTGCCATTTGTATGACTCCTGACCTACATTCAGCCCGCCCTTCTCCCACCCCGCTTGTCAATTTCTCGCTGCTAAACATAAAAATCACTGTCTGACCGCCTGAAATCTGGCTGCCTAACAGCCTCCAATTTCCATCCCAGTTTATGCCATATTCGAGGATTTAGAGTAGATGATGCCCATGTCCATGCCCATGCCAATACCAGGGCATTTTCCTCTCCCTAAGCTTGAGGCCCAAGACTCGGTTATCCTCCTTCTCATTCCCACCCACATTGTGTCTCATTCTTTGGGGCCCAGAGTCCAGCCTAAGTCATAATTGTTGGTGGGAAAATGCGCCGCTTCCCTATTTCCCTCCAAATCGCGAAAAGCAGACTCCTCTAGTCCTTCAAGTTGGCACTTCCTTCTCGTCCTAGGGCACTAGGGTGTTCATGTATGGGTTGTCCAGAGTCCCCGTGGTCTAGTATGTCAGCAGTCACCTCCCATTAAGGCACGCATACGAAAAATACACATAATCACATAGGTACACACACTAGTGACCTATTTCTGGCCCACTTCTACCTTTAGCCCATGATTTACTATCCCACATTCTAGAGTTGGATAACCCCATGGGAAAATTTTTGGCTGATTCTAGGTTCGACTCCTTTCACGGCAGTCGCCTTTTCTTGAATTAACTTTGTCACTCATGCGCCGCACCTTGGCGATGTATTTTCCTGTTCTTTAACAGTTTTCCTGATACCAAGCGTCTTCTTTTTGACGTCTTTGCTGAATCTCCAAATCTGCTCAGGCAATACACGAAACTATCGCTGGCTCTTCTCTCTTCTAATCTCCTGTTCATCAGATGTATTTGTAAAACGATATTCATAGCATCTCTGATTCTCCGCTTTTTGTTTTTTCTTCCCATATGAGGCCAGTCTTTTAGTAAGAACGTTCCATTTACATAGTATTGGCCGTAGCTTCCGAACCAACTCGCAGGAGGAGAGACATCCATCGTTTTTCCTCTGCTCCTCTTGCTTTCCTTTCATAATCTCCGGCCTTCCATCTGTTCATCACCATCCGTATGTTGTGTTGTATTGCTTCTTCTGGATATCCGTTTCCAAGACACATCTGAGTTAGTTTTCCCAGTTCCTTTTCCCATAATTCAGAATCAGGAAGCCATAGGCTTATTATCACCATACTCTAGAGTAGTCCAATCTGCATTCCCTGAGTATGCTTCGACTGGAAGTTAAAGGTTACCCCTGCCCGTGATTTCTTTCAGAAAAGTTGTTTTTTGAGAGTTTCCTCCACATCCAAGGAAGGTAGGTGTTGCTATCTTTGACTTTTTCATCCATTTAATTTATGAAAATCAGGAAATCGTCAAGTTTTGCGTATCGGTTCCTAAATCACCTAAAACGACTTATAATGAGTAAATTCTTGTATAAAATAGTAATTTATCATCACTCTATATTTCCCTTAAATTAAACCTCTTTGTTTGAATGTCCAATTGACTCAGCACGGGCATTCGATTTTGAAGTATAAGATGTCTATGCATCAAATGATAAATTATCTCAAGACTATTTACCATAATTAATAGTAGTTTTTAAGTATCAAAAGTGTTTGTATTCAATCTAAGTAATGGAGCTCGTAACAGAATGCCTACAAGCCACTAAATAAAGCATAATCTGACAAATCTATACACTTCTGGATAGGTGCTATTAATACATTCTATGCTTTTATCCACTTTCTCAAACTGCTCGTGAGTGATTAGTCGTTTTATGTCGATAGTAAACGAACAATTTCAATTTCACCTAAGAATAAAATGATGGCAAATTTATTAAGGCATTTAACATTTCTCTTGTTCGTTCACATCCTCGACACACAACCAGATATATAGCGTTAAGACCTGCATACCTAAAAATTCTTAACTCACAAATTTAACTCTATAAACTTCTGCTCCGCATTGTTCATTTTGTGACTTATAGTCCAACCAAATATCTATATTCTATCTCTAGCAAACCCAATATAGTAGCTGATGAAGGGAATAAAATAGCAAGAAATATAATTCGATGAGGTTGTGATCAAATTAGTAAATGATTTTTTCCAAGGAAAAGGCCTTACAATATCAGGCTAGCTAAAGAGAATATTTGTATTTATATTCATGAATTGAGAGAAACTATTTTGTATACCCTTTTAGTCACTAAAACAACTATAATGTGATCTTAAGCAAAGTGCTCGCTTATATTGAGCTCTAATACAATCCAGGTCCTTAGAAAAGCCTAAATATGCATTTTCTATACCCCTTAAGGCGGAAAGTTGTATGATTGATGGAAAAGATGAAAATCTTTCCGGAAGAATATAATGGACTAGACATTCGGGGCCCAATTTCGTCTCGATAGCCCCTTATAGCTATTTTTGGAATGTGCGACAGTAGGATGTCATTAACTTATAATGATGCTTGTCTGTTTACTTACCTCGCAATTTCTAGTCCAAAGAATAGAAGGGATGGCAATAAAAATTAGTGACAATGATTTCATCTCGATTATAAACTTATGGTGAAGGATTCCTATACTATGACACAAAAGTAATTTTGGTCTTTGTGAAACGAACCTTTTTTCTATACATCTCTTATTAGGTTGGACTAATAATGTGTGTGACAGCTGCTCGGAGCGTCTATAGCATCAGTATACCTCAAATAATAACATTTTTCAGGTAAATTAAATCAAAGGAAGATGGTTGATCAACGCATGGCAAATGCTCGTGTAGGCAGTGCCAGTAATAAAGTCTTCAAATCAACTTTGATCGGTATTTGGTGTGAGTTTTACAGCCACTACGGCCGAATTGCTTAAGCTTGTATACTTACTCAATGAGCAGATACAAATTGATCTATGAGGTTTCACATGGTAGGAAGATTATTTTTAAGAAATTTCACGCGAATATGGGCTTTCATTTTTATGTATTAATTGAATGAAGATGCAATTCGTTTAATAAATGCTCGCCATTTTAGATCAGTAAAATAAAATATTAAGCCAAATTTTATAAATACGAAAAGTAGCCGGGTTCAAACGAATCTCCTAAGATAACAGTGTTGGGAAGACTTTCATTTCGTATGAAAGAATAATTGTTTAATTAATTAGCTTAACGAATAGGCTGTCTAAGGAGGTAAAGAATAGTATCGAGCTGGAGGTGATTGCTAATTTTGACCAGTTAAACCAAAAAATTAATGTCCTAAGTGGAATTTCTGGATATTTATGTAGCAATAATTTAATTGTTATCAAGACCGACAAAGATGGAGCAATGGTAGTCATGGCTAGGTCAAATTATGTAGAATAAAATATAAATTCGTTTAAATTATACTGATACTTATAAGTCTTTAATGAGGCTGAAGGATGCTCTTATGGTATGTGTAAGGAATGGTGAAATGGAGAAGTGGAAAATAAATTCACTACTCCATTGAGATGCTAGGGCCTACACGGCTTACGGATTACGGCTTTCCTAAAGTGCACAAGCAGGAGGTTCCTCTTAGATTAACTCTAAATAATAAAGTGTGATGCATAAAATATTACGTTGAATTAAAGGAAGATGCTGATTTTGGGCTATATGCAGTTTGTAAAATTAGTTGTTCAGCCGGTAATTTCAGAGGAAGATGGGCTAGTAAATTCTGATACCGCTTCTATGCGCACAAATACTCTTGTTCAACAACCCATTTAAGGTCTAGTGCAAATTATGGAGGAGCATTCACAGAAAACACAAAGAATAATATTAAGTATAGCTTCCAACCTCAAACTTATTAGTTTAACCATTTTGCCCTTACCTTTAGGTTTTATGGACAGACACAAGGACTTTCGACGGGACTCCGCTTGGCTCACACTTTGGCAAATAACATGGCCAAATTCGAGAAAAACTTAATTATGATTTGAAGTAAATAGGGTAAATACCATTCTTATATCAAATCTACTGGTACTATCGAAACTTATGAAGTAATAAATAAGTAATGTAGTCGATTTATAT